TAGCGGTACCCAGAACATCTATTTTAATTATAGAATTCATGCCATCTATTCAGATACATACATTTGTCCCTTAGAAACATATAAAATTATATTCAGATTTATAATTCATTTCAAAAGATATATAATAAAAGTTCTTGATGTCCACTCCAAAATCATGAATTTCTCCAAAGACTTAATATGATGTTAATGTTTTAAGAATAAAATATTCTATTAGAAATATCCCCTCCCACTTCTATGATGTACAAAGAACCAGAGTGAATTAAAATGAAAATCAGCAGTAAAGATAATATTATAGTTAAAGCATTTGAAAACATTAGATAACGATGAAACACCACAACAGCTAAATAGTTTCATAGTGACTCAAACAAAGGAACACTTGAATAAACAAAAATTGACAAGACTATTTGTTTTAAAGTTTTTTAGCAAGGCCTTGTACAGAGTTGCATATAGAAATTAATAATAGGCCCACACATTAGAATGTTCACATTATTTGTTATGAGGGGGACAATAAGGGAAAAAGCAGTCACTTCATATACTAATTATTTTAACAATTCCAGTCTACAGAAAATTGCGTTTTCCTTCCACTGCATTTCCTTGATCCTCATGAAGCATGAACATATTAAACTGCTATATCAGACACCTATATTCTTACCAAAAATGTTTGGAATTTCACACTTTCAGAGTGAAGCCTAAATAAACATATATCCTCTGAACATATATTACTTTTTCCTTCAAAATAATGCAATTAATTAACCAGCAATGTCTTTTAATCTTTAAATTTAGAGTAGTCATGAAGATGTTGTAGTCTCTAAATTATTTTTATATTGTTGTTGTTGTTAGTTGCGAAGTCATGTCTGACCCATTGCGACCCATGGACAACGTTCCTCCAGATCTTCCTGTCCTCTACCATCTTCTGGAGTTCATTTAAGCTCACTCCTACTGCTTCAGCGACTCCATCCAGCCACCTCATTCTCTGTCGTCCCCTTCTTTTATTGCCCTCAATCTTTCCCAGCATTAGGCCCTTCTCCAGTGAGTCCTTCCTTCTCATTAGGTGGCCAAAGTATTTGAGTTTCAGCTTCAGGATCTGGCCTTCTAAAGAGCAGTCAGGGTTGATCTCTTCTAGGACTGACCGGTTTGAACGCCTTGCAGTCCAAGGGACTCTCCAGCACCATAGTTCAAAGGCCTCAATTCTTTGTCGCTCAGCCTTTCTTATGGTCCAACTTTCACATCCATACATTGCAACTGGGAAAACCATGGCCTTGACTATATGCACTTTTGTTGGCAGGGTGATGTCTCTGCTTTTTAGTATGCTGTCTATTTTTATATTGGGAAGATAAAATACTGTAATCAGAAATAGGTCTTTACTGATCACTGGACTACAGGCATCCATAATCTTGCTCCTTTTGTCAAAATGATGCTCTTTCTTACTGCTACTCTACCCTCCTGCCTGCGACCTCACTGCACCAGATAGACCATGTATTAATCTACACCAGTGTTTCTCAACCTTGACAATTTTAAGGCACGTGGACTTCAACTCCCAAAATTCCACAGCCAGCAATGCTGGCTGTGGAATTCTGGGAGTTGAAGTCCACGTGCCTTAAAATTGTCAAGGTTGAGAAACACTGATCTACACTAACTGGCTGGTTTTTACTTGATTTATCACAAAATAAGATTTTATCCCATCCACTGCATTTGTAAGTACAGATAGTCCTTGTTTACCAACTGCCTCATACAGCAACCATTTCCATTACAATAGTGATGAAAAAAAGCAACTAATCCTTGTATTTATTACCCTTGCAGGTCTGTAAAGCAAAGGAAAGCTGAAGTAATATCATAAGCAGAGTTGTGATTTCATTTATCAACTGCTTCACTTAACAATTGAGTTGCCAGTCCCAATCGCAGTCACTAAGCAAGTACTATCTGTACTCCAAAGACACTCACTCTTTTTCTTACATGTTTTGAAATCTAACAATAAAGGTATTAGTTAAATTAGACTGACTTCATTTTGAAAGGAAATTTGTTTCTTACATTCTCCTGTTGTTGCTTTTATTCCCTTTCAACCCTGTTTTCTTTTTAAATTCCCCATTTAAACATCTACATTTCAGCAAAGTGTTGCATAGGTTGTTTTAATATTGTGATTCAACCACTGATTTTTTTCTATTAAAGCAACAGGTATTGAAAAAATATTATAATTCTCCTAGTTGGGATTTCACCACATATTACAGCACACATAATGAATTATTCCAAATGAATGGTCTCTCAGGTGATGACTTTGGGAAAGATTGAGTCCTCCACTCAAAAGAATGAGCAGGATATCTCTGAAATACAATGGGGCTTGATTACGATAGATATTGTGAAATGCATTCCCTCGAATGTATGGTTTTTCTTATATCCATGAATGTGATTTTAAAATACAATCTCTCACTAAAACACTTCTCATAGTTGTTATACACCATCAGACATTGTTCATCATGCAAAGCAATCAGAGACTGAATCCTGGATCTTTCTTTATGTGGAAAGATAGTTATCAACAAGTTTCTAAAGCATAGGAAGTATGTTAATAAGTTAGATTACTTATATGAGATTCTTATTATCTTATTCTGACTGGCAGCCAGTCTACAGAACTTAGCCTTAGGGTTCTTTTTCAAAATTCCTTTTTTAAAAAATCCTTTTAACTGGAGATGCCAATAAAAAAACCCAAGACTTTCACATGCAAATTATTTCTTCTGTCACTAAGTACACTCCCTTCCATTTTCAGCACCAGATGCCAACTTTTAAGAAAAGAAGATTTTGTGTTTGGCTAAAAATGTGGCAAAATAAATAAACAATAAAATAGAAGCAGTAGTTTGAATGCTTGGAACATAAGATTGATCTGGATGTAGTCATTGCCATGGCACTATAGAAGTCATGTGTCTTGATACTTAAAAAAGCAAAATTATATTAATCTATTACAAGGAGTCCTTGACTTATAACCATAGCTGAATCTGGAATTAGGATTGTTAAATGACGGTTGTAAAGTGGGTTGCCATGTGACCTGACTCAACTTTCCCAGGTGCAGTTGTTCAGTGACTGTGTGGGTCGTTATGAGGATAGAGCAAAAGAACTGCCTATCAAAGAAGGCTGGCAGCTCCCCTCTGTGTGCAGAATGGAACTACAGTGCTCGGTTGGAGAAAAAAGAAGCTTGGATTGTTGTGCTCCAAGCTTTCTTAATCCAGCCCAGTGCTTCAGTTCCTCTTCTGCTTGCTGGAGAGATTCTGTTCCAAAAACAATCCATCGGGCAGCATTTTTGCTCTCAGACCAGCTGGGTGAAAAAGGTCCCTTGCAGGGGACTTTTGCCCAACCTGTTTGAGAGCAAAAGACAAAAGACATGTGAGACAGAATCTCTCTACCAAACAGTGCTCTCTTGAAAGCTGGCTGAAAAATGTCTGTCCTGAAATCCAAGGAAAATCCAGGTTGCGACCTTCTCTGCCAGCTTCTCTGCTCCTTCTGGTTAAGCCAGTAGGGAAGATCACAGATAGCGATCACTTGATCTCAGGGCACCCAAAATGTCCAGATCACATTCAATTAACTGTGGGGGCGCTGCAATAATTGTACATTTGTGTGTGGGTCCCTTCGTTCAGGCCTGTCATAATTGCAAATGGTCACTGAATGAATGGTTGTTAAATGAGGGCTACCTATATAATATGCTCTGCAATTTTTATATGATGGGATGGGGGATTCTAAATACTAACTTAATATATAAATAAATAAAATGCATCCTCTTGGATTCTTTCACATAGCCTTACCTAACATTGAAAAATCATCTATTGTCTTTGATTTACAATCACAAAAGGGAGCAGAATTTCCATTGTCGAGCAAGGCAGTTGTTAAGTGAATTGAACCTAACTTTATGACTTTTGCCAGAGTTGTTAAGTGAATCACTGCGCACAGTGAATCACACAGTTGTTAAGTGAATCTGTCTCTCCCCCCCCCCACACACACACTAACTTTGCTTGTCAGAAGCTAGGTGGTAAGATCACGCAAATAGTGATCATATGAATCCAGGATGGTACAACCATTGTAAATACATGCCAAGTGCATGAATTTTGATCATGTGACCATAGGAATGCTGTGAGGGTTGTAAGTGTGAGGACTAGTTGTAAATCACTTTTTTCAGTGCCACTCTAACTGTGAATGGTCGCTAAACGAATAGTTGTAAGCTGAAGACTACCTGAATCACAGAAGCTTCTTGTGGGAGGAGTTAAGATAAAAAAAAATGAATTCCACTGTTTCAGTGGACATCTCTATGAATCTGAGACACTCTGCAGAAATATACATTTCTGTAAGAAGCTAATTGTTAACATGTTTTTAAATATTTGTACTAAGACCTTAAATAGTTTTTAATATTGAGAAACAAAATACAGTGTAAAGGTGTTTCAAAATGGAGTAAAGATATTCATTTCAGATAGTTAAAACATAAAATCATGAATACAATAAAAATATTCAGTAAAGAAATAAAGTTTTCATAAATAGGGGAAATATCGAGCCTTTTCTTCTAGAATTTTTGAAAATTGGGAAGGGAGGGAAATGAAGTTGTTTTTAAAATGAATACTTTGATAATACTTTGTCACCATTAATGGGACTTGTGCTCGTTTTAGCAGCACATATATTAACATTTGAATAATACCATTAATGGGAACTAATGTATTATGCATATTTTATAAATAATCATGTTTGAAACTTGGGAGATTTAACAGCTGTGTAATAACTTTGTGATTTCACATTTGTCTGTGGCCTTAATTTTGGCAAAACTAATTCCCTATTGATATTAATAGTAAGTGACAATAAGCTATTGTAGAAAAGTTACTCCTTTAAAAATATATCAGATATTTTTCTGCTATTATATTGTACCATAGACATCCATGAACATTTCATATAATGTATTTCAATATCTAGAGATGAAAAAAATGATTTTTTTTCTTCACATTCTTTAAAAGAAACAACAGTGTTTTCGTACTTACCATTCCATGATTCAGCCAAGTTGGTATAAAATTATCAAGGAGCTTGGGGTAAACAAGTTCTCTGTCATAGATATAGATGCTCCAAAACATTAGCACAACAAACTGGGGCAAAGAGAAAAGAATACATATATATGTATATAGAGTCATATTTTTACAGTAAGAATTACATTTTATTAGTATCAACCATCAACCAATTACTACTGTTCTGTTGTGTGTACTTTTAGTGTACAAACTAGTTTAAATCTAGGTTGGCTAGCTTATAGATATATGTAGGTAATCTTCACTTAGCAATGGTAATTGGACTGGCAACTCCATTGTTAAGGACGATTGTAGTTGCAGCAATTTTAGTTGTCATTGTTAAGTTAATTCCACATGGCTGCTAGGCATTACATCACATGACCTCCATTTGCAACCTCCTGCCAGCTTCTCAATTGACTTTGCTTGCTGGAAGCTTGCACTGAAAATTGCTAGTGGTGATCATGTGACTGAAGGATGATACAATTGTTATAACTGTGAGCCAGTTGCCAAGTATCTGAATCACTATCACATGATTGTGATAACTGCAACGATAAGGACTGATTGTAAGTCTCCTTGTTCAGTGATGTGGTAAATTTGAATGACTGCTGAATGAATGGTCACTTTTTTCAATGTTGTCGTAACTTTGAATGGTCATTAAAACGAATGGTCATAAATCGAGGGTTATCTGTATTCATTATTATACTACGATCTATATTGTATGCAATTAGAGTAATATTCTGGATTACAGTAGTTTCCTCTAAACCACAAATAACCTATTAGATTTGGTGCATTAGTGTCATGTATGAACTAACTGAATCTCAGCAGATTCATCCATCTAAACAGAAATACTTTAAGTACCGAATTATACTATACAAGTATCACAGTTTATCCTTGCTCAATGCAGTTTATACTCAGAGTAGCCATGAACAATGAGCCTGGGAAATATGTGAACCCTATGTATTCTAATGTAAGATGCTGAGTTGCATACTTGAGATATGTTTGATAGCAGCACATTAACTATAAAGATCTTATAAAACAATGCTAGACATAGTACAGATAATTGTTGACTGACAATGGAATTGGGATTGGAATTTCTGTTGTTAAGCAATTGAGTCTGCTTAGCAATGGCAATCATGTTGCCATCATTAGTATCATTAGGTGAGGCAACTTCCTACTGGCAACCTGCAATCAAAGTCTGTGGAGAAGCCTGGAGGAAGTTGCAAGTCCCAGGCCAAGGTGTATAAGAGGCATGGATGGCATGGTTAGGATTCACAAAAGTGCGAGGGGGAACAAGAAAGGCATGGTGTAGTTTGAAGAGTGTGTGCATGGGTGCGTATGAGGCATAGTGAGGGTCCAGAAGGGTGTGCAAGACATATGGCATGGGTCACGAAAGAGAAAGCGCATGAAGATGCGAGGAGGTGAATGAGAGGTGCTACGCATATCAGGAGGGTATGCAGTGAAGCACGAGAATATGCGACAGGCACTACACAGATCAAGGAGGATATGCATGGCACAGATCAGAGAGGGTGCACAAGGGTGTGCACGAAAGGGGCTGTGTGGGTTAGGGAGGGTGGGTAGGATTATGTGGGTGGCTAGGACAATATGTGTGCAGAGGACCTGGAGAGGGTGTGTTGGTTGGGGAGATTTAACCCTGCCAATTGTGACTTTCCCTGTCAAGACTCCCAGATAGATAAGGATTTTGGCTTATTTTTCCAAAATTCAGTGTTAACATTTGAGGGTTTTCTAGTTTCAACTACTGAACAACCTCTAGGTTTTCTGTGGACTTTAGATCCGGAGTCTGATTTGGTCATTCTAAAACGCTGAATTTGTTCTTCTCCTGTTCTCTTGCAGCTTTGCGTGTATGTCTGGAATCAGTGCACGACTTATTTATGCTTTCGCTTATGATTGGTTAGCTGATATTAGGGAAGTTTATGCTCTAAGCCAGAAATCCATTTAAGAGCTGATGCAGATGCACATATGCCACACTTGTCATACTTTCCTAAAAAAACTAAAGCTAAAAAAGCTGTGCCTTTTCCTGCCTTGCATAGTAACTCTATGATCCTAGGAAAGTAGGTGTTTGAATTATTGCATCCTTAAATCAAAAGTATATTTTCTGTGATGAAGTCAAAACTGTGAGAGCATAGGAAGAGAGGAAGCTTCTTTAAGGAGGTGATGACAAATGTGGAAGGCATACCAACACAAACTTTAAAATACAGCAGATCATTACTTAATATTATCCTGTGGAATTTTCTACTATAAAGCAAATTCATGCTTTCTTTAATGATGGCAGGTTACACCAGTCCTGAGGCAGCAAAGCATATTCCATATACCATGACAATATTACTTCCATGCCTAGCAGCTGGTACCTTTTTATTGCAATACTTGGTTTCTGCCAGACATAATGACACTTATATAGTCTGAATGGTTCTACTTTTGATTCTGGAACATTAATCCAAAAAACTGGAGGATGGGGTCATCTATTTGCTTTATGGCAAACTACCGAATAGTATCCATGTTGTCATTAGTGAGCCATGGCTTCCACTTGCTATTTTTCCATGAATCTTATTTTTAATTAGTGTTCTTCTGATAGTGCAAACCAAATCCACAGTCCATAGTTAACCGTGAAAATCCCTGAATGTTTTCCTGGGCTTCTTTATGACTTCTTTGTGACTGGAAAAATTTGTTAGCTCTTGGAGTGATTTTGATCACATAATCCATTTCAAGATTGTGTCTCTTAATTCTGTATCAATGAAATCTAATCCAGATCTTTAGAAATTGTTTTGTAAATATTTCCAGGCTGACAGGCATTGCTTTTTTACAGAGTTCTACAGATATTGTGTTCCTCTAGATCAGTGGTTCTCAACCTGTGGGTCGGGACCCCATTTGGGGTCGATCGACCATTTCATGGGGGTCGCCAAGCAAGGCTGTCCGCCATTTTTTTTGTCCGCCATTTTTCCCCCTTTTCCGGCGGGTGCCTTACCTCCCTTGGGCTGGGCCAGCTGGTGGTCGGCCTGCTCTGTCTCTGCTGCTTGCCAGCTACACCTCGGCCTGCGCAGGGGGCGGAACCACGCATGCGCAGCACTCCAGGGCAGGGAAAGTCCTCGACTTACAACCGGTTGGGTAGTCCTCGACTTACAACCGGTTTAGTCCTCAACTTACAACCGGTTTAGTCCTCGACTTACGACCGGTTGGGGTCACGGCATTAAAAACATAACTTATGATGTAAGGAGGCAAAATTCATGAGATTTGTATAGGACTAGGCTGACTCATATCAGCTCTGTTTTAAGAGGAACTCACACAACTGAATTAACTAAGCTAGGTGATTACTTTTCATATTTATGTATTACACATTGGATGTAGTATGTGAAACTAGCACCAAACTTTGGTAATATTTAGTCACCCAGACTCCTGTTATACATCACTTGGGCCCACATGAAGATTTAACAGTGAAGATCATATTAAACAAAAGCATTAAAAAAAGAAACTTCCAGTGCTAGATTTCAAAAAGTAAATCTGATATTAATGGATGATTTTAAAAAGCTTGCATGCATTTGAATATTTTGTGAAGCACAGAAAGCATACTGACCTTGCCAATGAAGTAAAAGTGGAAAAGACAGGAATTTCCATCTGTCCCTAAATAAAGTCAGCCAATGAAAGCAACATTGGTTGCAACCATCTGGTGCTCCAGGTGGCAAGAACTTCTTTAATGAAACAGGTAGGTTCAAAAAGCAGGCTTAAGCAAATGATTCTAATTTTAGTCAAGTTGCCCATTCAACATTTCTTAAAACTCAACAACATCCCATTGCCTAAAAATCTAAATGTCCCAATATATAATTGACATAATTACTAAAAAATAGATCTGGATCAAAACAATTCCTTAAGATGTATCAACTCTAGAAATCTAGAAAAATATAATAAAATATTTCACACTTCTCTTTGGTTCCCCCTCTCTTGCCGTTGCAGGCTTTTTTATTCTGCCAAAAGTTTCACTGATTCTTTGCTTTCCCTATTTATGATTCTTTACCTATATTTTCATTATTTGTTCAATTTTTTTAACATAGCTTTCTAAAATTTCATTCAGACATAACTGTCTCCAATTACAATGATAGTATTAAAACGTGTTTTTTTAAGAAACTGCACCTATTAGAGTTTACGGCTTCATCTCAGAAAGTAGAAAAGGACTTTGTGTGCAGCAAAACTCTTTTAATGAACAAAAGCCTTCTGAATGTGCATAATGAATGAAATTGAAAATGCAAAATATACAAAATTGATATACAAAATGATACCTTAGTAAAAATATACAAAGATGATATACCAAGTTATGTAGCTATGCCCAGTTCAGTGACTGTTCAAAGTTAGGACGGCACTGAATGAGTGGTATTTAAACCAGTTCTTGAAATTTTGGATGTCACAGCACTCACACAGACAAATGATCGGATTTGGGCATTTGGCAACCAGTTCACACTTATCATAGTTGCATCATCCCACAATCACGTGATCGCCATTGGTAACCTTCCCTGCCAGCTTCCCAGAGGCAAAGTCCCAGAGATCTCATACTCCATAGCACCCACTCCACCACAGCCTGCTCTTAATACCATGCACTGACCTGCAGCAACTTCTCTACTTGCAGCTCTCACCAACCTGCCTATGCTCCCTACCGCCCGCCTGTAGCCCCTGCTGGTTTGCCCACACTTCTTTAGGACCATGAATTCATTTTAAGGAGAAATTAGAATGAGGTGTTTCAATCAATTGTATTTTCAGCAGGTATGAGTGTGGGAAGTTTTGCCTTACTTAAAGTACAGACTTCTGACTATTCATTAACTAAGTCTGATCTTCATAATACAGATACATAGGAGAGTGACTTGAACAAAGTAACATTTCTGAGGAAACAGCTATTGAGGCTCACTAGGCTGTAAAAAGTTACAAAATCATTTCCAAAGCGTTTGGACTCCATCAGTCCACTATCAGGAAGATCATTTACAGATGGAGGCCATTCAACACCAATGTTATCCTCCCCAGAAGATCACACCAAGAACAAAACATATAATAATCCAGGAGCTTTCAAAGAAACCCAGAGAGAGCTACTACTCTTCAAAAAGAGCACTGTTGCCAGTCTACAGTTTGCAAAACACCATGTGTATAAGCCAGAAGGTTACTGGAAAAGTGTTCTGTAGAAAGATGAGACCAAAAATAGAAAAATTTTGGTGTGAATGAAAAGTATTATGTTTGACAAAAGGCAAACCCTATTCCAGTGTAAGAAGCTATCTGTGAAATATGATGGTGGTAGTATCATGGTTTGGATCTGCTTTTCTGCCTCTTGAGGACTAGGACAACTTGCCATCAATGATCATGAGATATCAGTGGAATGGGATGGCAACCATGAACTCTGAATTGCACCAAAAAATTCAAAGGAAAATGTCAGGGTATCTGTGAACTGAAGCTGAAAATGGGTCATGTAGCAAGACAATAACCTTAAATAGATGAGTTGTACAACCAAAGCAGAAGAAATAAATATTTTGGAAAGGCTAAGTCAAAATCCTGACTTTAATCCTATAGATCAGTGGTGGCGAACCTATGGCACGGGTGCCAGAGGCGGCACTCAGAGCCCTCTCTGTGGGCACGTGCACCGTCGCCCCAGTCCTAGGCCTTCAGCTGGGTTTTATAAAACCTTTTCGCTTTAGGCCTCTGCTGCCGTGTGCAAAAAAAAAAAAAGGTTCAATCAGTCAATTTCAACTTCTTGCGGGAAAAAAAAAGATCTTGCAAAGTTGGAATTGATTGATTGAACTTTTTAGTCCCACCCAGTCTGCCGTTACCACCACAGCCACGCCCACCCAATGGGCCACGCCCACCCAATGGGCCACGCCCACACAATGGGCCACACCCACTCAGCACTCAATGATGCATAAGTGGGTTTTGGGTTGCAGTTTGGGCACTCGGTCTCTAAAAGGTTCGCCATCACTGCTATAGATTAAGAGTAATTGGAAATCTTTAGCTGCAAGGGAGCACACTAGTAACTGAAAGCAAAGATTCACATACTTTTACCACAAATATGTAGCTTTGGATTATTTTCCTCAATGAATAAATGAACAAGTCTAATGGTTCTGACTCATTTTTTTAATTACATTCTCTTTAGTTTTAGAACTTGTGTAAAGAACAGATCATGTTTTAAGTCATGATGCTGAATTTTTGAAAATTAAAAACAATTCACAAACATTTAAGCACTCTATGCTCTTTTGCTGTTCTATTTCTCTGACAAATGCACTTTATATTGATTATCAGTACTTTTAATTGTTTTAATCATTATTTTTATATTACATGTGAACTTGGAGGCATGACATAGATATAAATTATACATTTAAAGCTGGAAAATACAGTTCCTTTTTCTATATAGCAATCCTATATTGCCCACACTGAACTTATGTACTAAACATTTTTGTTAATATAATTACACTGAATGACTAAATAGAAATACTTATAAATGCAATAAATAAATGGCACTTTTAATATATAAAATTGCACTGGTGACTATGAGCTTTTCTTTAAACAACTGATATTTTAAAAACAGATTAAAAACCAAGAACCAACCAAGAACTCTAAATTGAAAGGAAATTCCTTTCTTTTCATGGTACTTACAACCCCAATGGGAAAAGCTAAGACAGCCATCATCCAGTCACGTAGGGAGATGAGTTTTCTTAGTTGCCTTTCTTGTTCTTGGCTGTCATTTCCTTTAGTCAGAAGGCTGGAAAGATCAGTCAGAACACAGATCCCAAAAAAGACTGCTTGAACAACCTGCATTAGAAATATCAACATATTGAAACATAAATATCTTTCTCAATAATATCATTTTTAGCTGCAGATCCTTTGTAGTGGTGGTGACATTTGGCAGCAGGGAATTTATTGAGCTTTAAAAATGCCCAGGCTGGATATTGTGCAGGCGTACTCTGAAGCCTTGCTTCATAAAAAATAGAAGGAACTATAATCTTTACTATCCAGAGTAACTCTGGCTTAATAGTCAAACACTTTTTCTAATATGCAATGAAAATGTATTATTCTCATTTTCTGCTCTATCAAGTATAAGTGCATTTCTTTATACAGTGTTGGAAGCATTTAGCAAGAATGGAAAGGTAGACAGGATATGTGCATTTATCCTGAACTCTTCCTCTTCAGTTATGGTATTAATGCCAATTCTGAAAACAAGGGCCAGTCTGGCATCATTCTGAAAAAAAAATTATACTGTCTATCTCTGTGGATATTTTTCTCACTTAATGTACCAACATTACATTTCTGGTCCCCACTGTCAACAACATCTTTGCACTTTTGCCATGTATTAAAAAAAAACATAAAACTCACCCTGACATCTACTCAAGTAACCATCACCTTTTATTTTAAAAAGCTCTAAATTATTTGCTAACTGCTGTTTCTTCTGCTTCTTCTGAACTGTAAGTACAACATCTGCCCTATTACTTTCCATGTCCTGGAAGGCAGGAAAAAAAGGCAGGGCATTTTTATCCATTTAGAAAATATGTGTTTATGTGGAATATATTTTTACTAGATTATATTTCATATTATCTTTTCTAAAGTTTAATTTTGCTTGACTTCTATTCAGCACATACAATTATTTTGAATTAAATATATTTTATATTATACACAATACTAGAGCTGTGATTAGTGATATATCCTAGATTACGGGTGTCAAACTCGCTGCGTCATGTGACGTGTTGCGACGTATTGTGACTTTTTTCGCATTGCCGGAGCTGGGGTGGGTGCAACCTCCGCATGATGCAACCGGCCCACGGGCTGGCAGTTTGACACCCCTGTCCTAGACCATCTGCCAAGCATCAATTAATAATAGGAAAGGCCATCAAAAAGCTAGGTAAACTTTGGCTTCACTTGTTGAGCAAGGAAAGAAACATTTATCACAGATATTTATACTAAGTTGTACTTATGGATTAAGTTTACAATATCTTGAAAACTCTATCATGTTTTAAAATAAATAGTTCACTCAATCAAAAAGCAATGATTTAGAGAAGTCTCTGATAAGTAGCAGACAAATTATTTATGTGAAAATTCTAAAATATACAGAATACATCTCATGGTCCAAAACAAAGTGGCTTTTCTAATTAATGTTAAGTAAAATGAAGACAAGATTTTGTCCTATTAGGATACCTCTGTAACATCAGAATGTTAAACCTATAGCTGTTTGAATAAAAATTATTTATTACCTTTTTCCTTATCTTGTCATATTCAAATGATTCTTGGTTGTATTTTCATATATTCCTGGGAGCTTTAAAAATTTAGGAAGACAAAAGGTCTGGATAAAACTACATTACTATATAAAAACAACACATCCATGTTGTTACCAGGAGTCCATATTCGATGGGGGGAAAGGGAAATTAATTTAACTGGTATTTGCCACACACTAGCTGTACAGCAATTCAAGAAGTGTTGTTTATGTTACAAGACTGTTTAATGCTTGCTTTTCTGACCTTTCTGGAATACTTCACTTATTATCCTCTTGCTCAGTTATTTTTATCCAATTTTCATCTACTCACCTCAGCTTGCGGATTATGTCTCAATTTCATACTGAGCTAGTCTTCTCTATTAATTTATTAATGCAGATCTTAATCACTATAAATACAGCATAAGGTATTACTAAAATCATGTAGCCATCTTTGCACTAGTTGAATAAATATAAAATAATAATAAACAAGAACATCCATAAAGCTGGAGACCACTTTTATGTCTGAGACACTGTATCAAGTAACTTCAGAAGCAATTAGAGAAACACCAAAGATGCCAGATTTCCAGACTCTTAGCCTTGGGAGCAGTGCTTTTTTTGTAAAAAAAAAAAAAAAAAAAGGGAACTCACACATGTCATACAACCTGCATTGCCTACCCTACAAGGTTCCATCCAAAAAAGGTGCCGGAACTCCGTTCTGGGCGTTCTATGACAAAAAAAAGCCCTGCTTGGGAGTATGATATGGAATTCCTAAAGCCATTCACAAAGAATCTACAGCAATATGACCCCCAAAATTATCATATGCTTTGACTGTTCATTCCTAATTAACCCAGTAATTTTAGAAAATACTGTTTCCAGCAAGATTTCCCTGTGACGTGATTTACATTTATTAATTTTAGCCATCAAATACCTTTAATTTTGATTTTGTTATCTCTGATTTTTGGATCCATACTTTGTACATCATCAGGAAATAAAACTTTTATGCATGTATTTAATTAGCCAAACTGGAAAAAGCAAAATACAGTACAAATAATTTGGACTCTTCTGACAAAATTCATCTATGTCTCCAGTTCTATAATATCAGAATGCATGCAACTGAATAGGAAAAGGATCCAATACTATTGAATACTACTAAAATCTCCATAAGGATTTACTAGAAAAAAATCATTTGGTCTTTTTTAGATATTTAGAAATGAAACAAAATCTACATGCAGAGACAAACCTAATGCAGAATAACATTAAACATGAACCCAAATGACTCAATCCAGCTTTGTAAAAATGCAAGCATCTTTGCATAGTAGATAATATTTCTCCTCCTTAACTTATTTCAAGTTTGTTTGTTAGTATCCTGCCTTTATTTTTAAAAATAACTCAAGGTGGCCAACAAGTCTAATGCACTTTCCTTCTCCTATTATCTCTATAACAATAACCCTGGGAAGTGTATTGGGCTGAGAGAGAGTGCCTGGCCCAAAGTCACCCAGCTGGCTTTCCTGGCTAACCTACACACACAAATACACACACGCGTGCGCACGCGCGCACACACACAAAGAGTTTCCAGTCAATAAATGCTCATCCTATCCAAATAGCAACTTCTGTCACTACAACAGGAAACCAACAAAAATAATACATCTATTATAATAAGAATACTTATGCCTTGTTACAAATACTAAATTACAAACATTGTGATATCATTAAGACCTAAAGAGGCAATCATGAAAATTAACATGCTTAAAAATTGTTGTCAGAACAAATCCGCAGATCAAATATCCATAAATTACGAACCTGTGCTATAACAGCTATAGTAATTTTGACTGAAACATTTGCCCAGATTAGCTATTTCAGTAACATATTCATGAGAGAAATTGTTATCCCTCAAGATCATAAACAATTTTTAAATTTTATAATTAAGCCCCATATTCTATCTGTTTTCTATATCAACAATAATTTGCCATTATAAGCTGGAATGTATCCTATTTAAAAGTGGAAAAGCAGCATGTCAATATATTGGGAAGTAATCTAGTATTTCCCAACTAAAGCAGAGGCTACCAAAATGTTTGCTCCTCAGAGCAAATTCCCCAGTGCAACCACATTACTACCACATCTTTAAAAAGATATTAGATCCCTTTTAACATTAGCAGTTACTATTTTAACTACCATTCTTGATGTGTTTTCATAACTTGCAATAATGATCCTTCACACTCATAAAATGGTAAAAGAGTATCATATTTAACCAAAAGCCATATTTAACAAAAGACGATAGAAGAAATTCTGTTTCATCTTCCAGACCTCTTCTCTCCGTTTTTGAGTGCAATAGGTCAAAGAATATGGAGGTCTCAAAAAGATGGAGGAATAATATCTCAGAGAAAAGAAAAATAAGTAAACTAGAAAGGGAACTAGGTGGCATTTCCCATTTACTTAGAAGTCTATCTTCATGAATATATATATATTTCCACCATCTAGTGGCAACCTTGTTAGTACTACTTTGTAAATTATCATCAGCTTAAATATCTACATACATATAGGGAAAACAAAGTATCATAATTGACCATAAGAATATTAATTAAGAGAACTGCAAGGGCTTGTTCAGACAATCACAAAGAGTCAAGAATGATTTCGACTCATATTTATTGGTCATATATATCAGAATGTTTTTGATATTTTGACTTAACATTATTAATATTTAAAGACTGATAGCAAAACAAAAGCCAGATTGGTGTAGTGGTTACAGACCCTAGGCTTGAAACTGGAAGACTGAAAGTGCTACTCCTGCCTTTGATATGAAGTCAGCTGGGTAACTTTTGACAATCACTTTCTGTCTCAGCCTTAGTAAAATGACAGTGCAAACCACTTCTGAAAAATGTTAAGAAAATGCTAAGAAAACGGGGGGGGGGGGGGGNAGAGGTTATGAATAAATTAAACAGGTGTTTACCATACCAGATATTATTTATCTTAATTAGAAATACAACACTCTCCATTTAAAGTATATATTAGAATACAAGTATATATTAGAATGCCTGAATACATTATTTGAGAACTCAGACTTGAACTAAATTTTACCTTCTGGATTTTTTTTTAAATTGAACCTAGGAAAATTCCAAGTACGTTAATTTCCAAGCACATTCAAAAATACACATTCAAGCAAAATCTGGGCAATCTAATTTATTTTAAGAAGCTGTTATGAATGGTAATTCGGTAAAGATATGAAGGGTTCTGTAACTGGAACAAAAAGAAATTGTTTAGCCTAACTATTGCTATCTCGCTTTTGTAATCAGCGTTTGCATTAGGGACAAATTTCATGCAAGCGTGGGAAAAAATGTACATGGATGGGATGTACTGAAGGAGGGAATAAGGGAGTGTACAGGAATGATTGATGTGTTCCTTATGATGCAATGGCTCTGTTGTCTGATTTCCATTGGCTAACAAAGTTTATAAAGCAATGCTACTAACTTTCTAAGGTGTCGGATGTAACTCTGTCAGCGTTCCAGGTTGTACATGGATGGGATGTACTGAAGGAGGGAATAAGGGAGTGTACAGGAATGATTGATGTCTC